GAAGAGAGAATCCCAAGCAGACTCCACACTGTCAGCTCAGAGGCCAATGCAGGGCTCAGTCCCCCAAACCCAAGATCATGACCTGAGCCAATGTCAAGAGTCAGACACTTAACCGACTGAGCCACCCAGGTGCCCCATGAATACCTCATTCTTAATAGTACTAAGTAAAATGTCCTGATACTTCAAGCTAGACATCATCTAAACTTTCCTAAAATTTTTCCTCTATTTTTCTGTTCCCCAAACTTCTCTAAAGGGAAAGTAAGGTTTAATTATTTCTCTCTGTGTTGAAATCTCTTCCTGTTTTCAAGGATTCAGACTATGTTTTACGCAATATGATGGTTACAAGGCACCTGGGTCTAACAAAAATCCACAGGAATCCCCCTATCATCTTCAGGAAGACATGCATCTTCAGGTATGAGAAGCATTTTCATGTTTGTTTTGCTCGACTGCCAAAACACATTCCCCTACTGTGATAGTAGATCTGAGAGACACAGCTTTTGTCCATTATTAGTATACTTAAATCTTACCCTGATAGGTTTTAAAGAAAAATTCCTGTTTGCGTGGGACATATTAACTCCTTTCCCCTTCAAGTACTTTTTAAAACAGATTTCATTGGTATTTTATATTAAAATTGCATGTTTTAAAGCATGATAGTGTTTTATTTTTCTGTGATGTTTTTTCAAACATGGAATTCAACAAAAATCCACCATGATTGTGAAAAATACATCCATGTCACTTACCAGAGCTCATCATGTTAATGTTAGCTAGCCTGTGGACGTGTATTTTTTATTTGAAGAAAACAGGCCAGGCAAAGGTGGGGAGGAAGCAGAGAACATTGTCTTTAATAAGTACTCAGTTCTGGGTTACTTTGCATGCCTTTTATCTGTGGGATGCCAGGAACACAAACTGGACAGATGCAAAACTGATCTCAACCTGGGACGCACCTATCGCAAAAGGGACTGACTGCTTGTTAGAGGTCAGTGTGGTTGAGTAGGCAGTAATCTATCCCAGTCCGGTAGGCTAATTTGACATTTAAGTACATGTGTTAATTAAATTTTAGTTTGGCCACGGGGCGCCTGGGTGGCTCAGTCGGTTAAGCGTCCGACTTCGGCTCAGGTCACGATCTCGCGGTCCGTGAGTTCGAGCCCCGCGTCGGGCTCTGGGCTGATGGCTCAGAGCCTGGAGCCTGCTTCCGATTCTGTGTCTCCCTCTCTCTCTGCCCCTCCCCCGTTCATGCTCTGTCTCTCTCTGTCTCAAAAATAAATAAACGTTAAAAAAAATTAAAAAATAAAATAAATTTTAGTTTGGCCTCATATCTGAATGTTCATTCAGTTTCAACCTCTTTTCCACAGTTATTCCTTGTGCTGGTCGAATTTTATGAGAGTCCTTGCACACCCAGACTCAATCTGGACTCCTGTGTGTAACTTACAACAGGTGCCTCTTGAGGAACTTTGTTGACCAATCAGCTTTATCTTTATGCCTGGAAAGTTTCGCATGATGCTTCATGACTGTGGTTATCATAAAGACACAAAGTGGTGGCTCAGCAGCAGGAAGGAATGGGAACAGCAAAAAAAAAAAAAAGACATAAAGGACATAATCTTCCCTGGCATTATAGGATTGGTATTTTGAGTCATAAATGTGCTTTTTGAGGCTAGGCAAAGCACCAACATTTTTACAAATACCTCAAAAGAATGACATCTGAATGTCAACATAGACTGGAAAGGGGGAAAGAGATGTGTTTATACCTCACTAGAGAGAGAAACCACTACTACATTTCAATGAAAATCTCAGGTCCCTCCAGGGAGCAGTGCTGCTGAGGCCCTACCCAGATCCCTAAAATACATTCTGCTAGGGGCTGCACACTGTAGCTTCCTCTGGAGCAGTGCCCCTTGAGTGATGGGAGCCCCTTACCTGGCTGTGCATCACAGTTAGGTAAACACTCGTCTTACAACACACACCCAAAGATGCATGGTGGAGCCAATGACTGATAAAAGACCTCTCCAAGGTGGGGCAGATTCTTGGCACCATTTGCCTTCCAGAGCTCCCCTTAGGATGAGGCTGAGGCTAGCCTTCACATTCTTTTTAAAATTTTTATAAGTTTACTTATTTTTGAGAGAGAGAGAGAGAGAGAGCAAGCAGGGGAGGGGCAGAGAGAGAGGGAGACACAGAATCTGAAGGAGGCTCCAGGCTCCGAGCCCGATGCAGGGCTTGAACTCACATTGAATCCACAAGCAGTAAGATCATGACGCCCAAAGTCGGATGCTTAACCAACTGAGTCACCCAAGCGGCCCTAGCCTTCACATTCTTAATTAGCTTCTTCTTCCCTCTTCTGCTTTCCTCAGACCCTTACAGGTTTCTGTGGAAAGCACTCCCTCTATAAATCCTTTGCAGAAGCATTCATGTCTCGGGCTCTGCTTCTAGGGAACCTGACCTAACATACTCATCAGTTCCTTCAGGCATTCAACTGGTACTTCTTGGACGATATGTAAACAAAAACCAAATACCTTCAGACAAGTAGAAGTATAGCAAAAGACAATAAAACAGAGTAGCAGATGGACAGCGACCTGGGCGCTGCTACTTTATTTAGATTGCTTGGTCAGAGAAGGCTTCTAATGAGTGAGCTGAGAGAGAGAGCTCTGTGAAAGAAAGGGGGGAGCGGTCCAGGCAGATGAAACAAGGGCTGGTGTGGCTGGAGCATCGCTGGCACAAAAGAGCGATTCAGTATGTTTGGGTGGAATGTTACGAGACTGCTGATGTCTTATATCCTTCTGCTTATTTGGTTTTGGTTTCAGAGACTTCCTCTTTAAGTGTACAGACACTTCAGAAGTCATTTTGGCCTCTGTCTGTGGAGAGAACCACATAGTAATTCCACTCCGTGAGAGAACGGGAAAGGCCTTAGGAGTTCTTGATTTTAACATTGGCAGGAATAAGATGCTACTGTATCGAGAATTTAAAGATCTGCAGAAAATGATAAAGGTGGTCCAAGCTGCCTGCTACGAAATATTGGGAGAAATATCTGGAGAAATAAAGAAAAACTATATCCTAGGTATTGTGAACGTAAATGTTCTGGATTCATGGGTTTAATAAATTTGGGGGAATCACAGATTGCAATGAAGGATGCACTTTCTAAAAGGAATTGTTACAATATACAGCAATATACAGCATAAAAGGAATTCCCTCATGCAGTCTTGGGCTGATGAGTGTGGTCTATAAATTAGAGGAAAGGGTATTAAGTCTCATTTTCTTGGCTAGAATCATATGGTTTAGAACTGGAAGGACTCACAAAGGCAATATAGAACTAGCATTTATTAAATGCCTCATCATGTATCAAGCACTTTAAATATGTAATTTCAATTAGTCCTTACCCTAACTCTGTGAAGTGAATGGTGATACCTCATTTCACAGGTGAGGAAAGTGAAGCTCAGAGAAACTAAACAACTCACACCAAATCACACAGTTAGCAAGTGATGAAACCTGCATTTGCACCCCAGTCTGGTGCTCTTTCCACTAGATTACACAGTATTCATTTGCTGGGACAAGTGAATCTTATCTTGTTTTACAGATAAAGAAGCTAAAAACCATCAGAGTTAAGGTCCAATAGGAGCTTAGTGGCAGAACCCAAGACTAGACCCCAGTGCTTGTGATTCCACATCCAATAGGCTGCTCTTAGTACAAAATCAGTTTGGCCATAAGGGAAGGAAGAAGGAAACATGGAGACCTTTGGCTATCTAGAATGGAGTAAATAGAGTAACACTACGTGGGATTAATCTGAGAGGTTTCTTGCCACCAGGTAGGGTGGAGTAAGTAGAAAAAAGAAGAAAATTTATGTTTTTTGAGCATCCACTATGTACTTACCACTAAGCACTTTTACTTATATCATCTTATTCAATTCCCAGACCACCAGGGAAGTAGGGATCAGCCTATGCTCACAGAAAGGAAAAGGAGGTTCAGAGAGACAAACCTAAGAGTGGGTATTCAACCTGAGGTCCAACTCCAAAACCTGAGTTTTTACCTTTCTTCAAAGCCTCTTCCTGTGAGCTTCACCAGTGTAATTCCATTTCTGCATATTAATTTCATGACTAGAGAAACGAAGATTGTTTAAAAGCATAGGATATGGCTGTCTTTTTCCTGGAAAAAAAAGTTTACTGTATTATGTTCAGAATGCTATGAAAAACCAATATATGTACTGAACAACAGTGTGAGATGTTACTGTGTTGTTTCAGAGATTGAAAATGTAGGTGAAGTCCAGCGGGCAGGAATTCTCTTTTTCCGAATCATGCTGCAAGAGCTGCAGGAAAGCCTCCAACTGCTTACCTCCTTAGACTTTGTATCACTGTTACTCTATGACTATCATCCTTCGGTAGAGCCCACATACCTGCCAGACACCAAGTCCCAGGAGGTGGAGGCCAACACAAAACTAGTACATGACATCCTGTTAGCGGTTATCTTGTTCATTCATCCAGAGCTGGAATTATCAAGTGACTTCGGAAATTGGGACAAGTGTAAAATGGTAAGTTTTTTTTTTTTTAAACATTCTTTTTGTTGAAGAATAACCCACACAAGTTTAGGTATACAAATCATAATTGCACAAATCCTAAGAGTAAAAATGCAAGATTTTTTACACAATAAACATTTGTAACCAGCATCTAGCTCAAGAAACATTAATGGCACCCCCCAAAGCCTTTCTTTGTACCCTCTCCTATCACTTACCCCCCCACACACACGCACATTTTCTCACTCACCCCAAGAGTGACCAGAATCCTGACTCCTAACACTGTAGATTGGTTTTGCCTGTTTTAAAATTTACATTAATGGGGGCTCCTGGGTGGCTCAGTCAGTCGAGCATCTGACGACTTCAGCTCAGGTCATGATCTCACGGCTCGTGGATTCGAGCCTTGCATCTGGCTCTGTGCCGACAGCTTAGAGCCTGGAGCCTGCTTTGGATTCTGTGTCTCTCTCTGCCCCTCCCCCGCTCACACTCTGGGTGTGTCTCTCTCCCAAAAATAAACATTAAATTTTTTTTTTTAATTTACAGAAATGGAATTATGTAAACTCATGAATTGGATTACTCCCACTTGCTGATGCTCCCATAACTTTTATTCTTTTGTTCACAGTATGTTAACAGACACTTTGTCGCGAACATTTGTGCCTTTGATCCAACTGCTAGGCATGTGGAAGTTAATTTAAAGCTCATTGGTGAATATATCAGAGGTAAATTTACACTTCATTGTGTTTGAAATCTAACAGCAATAAAACATAGTTACAATTCAAATATTCAGATATTTTTATCACAATAAAGCAAGTGCCTCATAAGTTCAATTTTTAGGAAAAATAGTTCTGATAGTAATCCTCTATAGGGAGGAACACTATAATCGAGTGCATTACCCAAAGTCACTGTCTATGCCACACGTTTGAGAATTCAGAATCATGTTCATCTCCCACTTTATTGACTACATGTGCATTATTTACTAAAAAACAATAGAGGATATGGGCTGCAGTGAGGAAAAGAAACAAGTACATTAAGGAAAAAGGCTATTACTATCTTTGGGTTTCAATGAAGAACCAAAGAAAATGATAGATCATGAGACTTTATATGCGAGTAATGTAGACTTTTTGGAGAAGCAGAATCACCGGAAATCAGAGTAGGGGAGCTCCCAGGTTGGAAAAGGTGATGAGCTCTTTGGCCACAGAGAACTGACCACATATAAGAGTAAATATCCAGAGTGAAATAGGGATTTTCTTTATTTCAAATTTGTACTGAAATTCTAGTTAGTTCACATATTTGGTAAAATTGGTTTCAGGTGTAGAAGTTAGTGATTCATCACTTACCTATCACATCCAGTGCTCCTCACAAGTGCCCTCCTTAATACCCATTAGGTGAAGGGGTTAAGAGTACACTTATGATGAACGCTGAGGAGTGTATAAAATTGTGGAATCACTATATGGTGCACTTGAAACTAATACAACACCATATGTTAGCTACACTGGAATTAAAATTTTAAAAAAGAAATATCTATACATATATAGGCATACATTCTTCCATGGGTGTATGTTATCCCACCAGAGACCTCAGGCCATTTGTGCGAATGTACCAGTTAGGAAGAAATTTAAAGTTTGTATCTATTTTGTTACTGATGAAAAACTAACCATCAGTTGGGAAAATGGCTCTGTAGAAGTTTTTTACTAAATCTGTCCCTTTCCTCCCCTTCCACCTTTCCAACTCTCTGTAGAGACTCTGGACTAAGTCAGAAGAGTTTCTAGACTTTTATGATGTGCATATTATGCCAAGAGGCTGAGAACCAGAGAAAGTCTGAGAAGAGGAAGGCAACCACACTCCTCAGGGTGTCTCTGGCAGTGGAAGCATGTAGCAGTGAGCCAGGGCAGATAGATGAAGGGGAGAGATCGAATCGCCTAGGAAAGCAAGATACTCTCAGAAGTTTGGGAATGCTAGAGAACAGGAGAGAACATGACATTCAAATAAAAGTTAAGATTAGAATTTCTGGGGTGCCTGTGTGGCTCAGTCAGTTAAGCATCTGTAAGCATCTGACTCTTGATCTGGGCTCAGGTCATGATCTCATGGGTTTGTGAGTCTGAGCCCTGCATCAAGCTCTGGGCTGAAGGTGTGGAGCTTGCTCGGGATTCTCTCTCCCTCTCCCTCTCTCTCTGCCCTTCCCCCACCCCCTGTCAGAATAAATAAATCAACTTAAAAAAATAAAGATTAGAATGTGTATTTGGAATGGCTTCTCCTGTAGCCTCATGACTCTGGACTGATTCATGGGAGCCTCTGAATTTATAGATGTCACAGGTATCACTTCTTTTAAGGTGCTATTCAAGGGAAATTATAATAGCAAAACCAAAGATTAAAACTTGTTTAACTCTATCCTTGTCTACACTTGTTCCATACTTGTTCACTCACTGTTCACTGAAGACTTAAAAATCCAGAAGAGGGGCGCCTGGGTGGCGCAGTCGGTTAAGCGTCCGACTTCAGCCAGGTCACGATCTCGCGGTCCGTGAGTTCGAGCCCCGCGTCGGGCTCTGGGCTGATGGCTCAGAGCCTGGAGCCTGTTTCCGATTCTGTGTCTCCCTCTCTCTCTGCCCCTCCCCCGTTCATGCTCTGTCTCTCTCTGTCCCAAAAATAAATAAACGTTGGGAAAAAAAAAAAATCCAGAAGAAACATCTCTGTGTCAGTGCCTGCTTGCTGCTCCTCCCTTTAAGGTAGATTTAGTCCCCACCATGAGCACCAGTAGGCCCTTCACCTCCATGTGCGACCTGAGTCCCTGCTCCACTTCGTAGACCCCAACATGCCAGCCCCTTGGCCTAGAGCCAGACCCTGCTGCTAGGGTCACTGGTGTCCTCCCAGACTGCTGTTTCACCTTCTCGGGCAAGGACACAGGCGCTCACCACTGAAAAATCTAGTCCTTTTGTCAGATGGGAGCTGGGGATGAGGAGCAAGCCCCACAACTCCCCATCTTGCAAGTGTGTTCAGGATTTGGCTCTCACCCTCAATTAGCTCATCTCCAGACAAAGACATCTTCTGTAACATTGTCCCAATGCTTTATGGGAATCTTTTCAGTTCAGGTTCCACCTCTGATTTGCCTACCAGAACTAACTCCTATAGTCATATGCAGCTCCTTTGTTTGGGTAAACATGCAAATTTCTGCCTCCTCTCCTCTCCTTTCAACTGTGCTAGCCAATTCCTGAGCAGCCTTGATCGCCAAAGCTTCCACCTCTTTCTCTTTTCCAACAGTGTCCTCAGGTGGCAGGAATTCCAACTGCAGTGAACACAGCTGGATTCAGCCAGAACCCTAATAGCCCTCAGGCCCCCCTTCCACCACCACTGCCAAACCTTTAGCATTATAGCAGTCTCTGCTGCAACCAAGAAAGTTCATAGGCCACCCAGACACCAACCCTCTCTCCTTCAGACGCAATTGTATTGGGAAATTGTAAGCTCTCCATTTAGGGAAAGAAGGGGAACTCACGGGGGCACCTTTCTGTTTGTGCCTGAAAGAGAAGAGCCTCTGGCAGGGCAATTTGTGGCTCAAAATTTATCTGAGCCTTCTAGCAGTGTTAACTAAAGCCCCAGTCAACAACACTACCTAGCATGAAATACCACCAACAGTGGTCATTTCTGCCCAGGTTGGGGAGGGACTTAACACAGCTCCTAACCCACCAAGCCTTTCAAACTAATGATTTTGCCAAGAAGATAAAATCAGGGCTGGTGATGTGTCTACACTTTCTTAGGACTTCTGCTGTCAACTTTCACCCTACTTCATCCTAGTTCTAGAAAGGAATATATATTTTTTTGATGTCTTAGAAAAGGTACACTTTATTTTTTATTCTTTTTTTTTATTTTTCCCAGTTATTATTGAGATATAATGACATATAACATTGTATTAGTTTAAGGTATGCAACATAATGATTTGATATATCTACATATTGAGAAATGGTCACCACCAGTAGGTTTAGTCAACATCCATTACCTCACATAATTAAAAGATTTGGGGGGGCGGCACCTGGGTGGCTCATTTGGTTAAGCGTCTGCCTCTTGATTTTGGCTCAGGCCAGGTCTCCCAGTTCATGAGATTGAGCCCCACTGATATTCTCTCTCTCCCTCTCCCTCTGCTTCTCCCCTGTTCCTTCTCTCTCTCTCTCTCTCTCTCTCTCTCTCTCCCTCCCCCCCCCAGTAAATAAACATTTTTTTAATTAAAAGATTTTTTTCTTGTGATGAGAACCTTTAAAATGTACTCTATTAGAAACTTTCATATATACAGTATAGTATTGTTCACTATAATCACAAGGCTGTACATTACATTCCCAGAATTTATTTATCTTGTAACTGGCAGTTTGTACCTTTTGACCACCTTTGCACATAGCCCCTGTCTCTGGTAACCACCAATTCATGCTCTGCTTCTGAGTTCAGTTTTTTTAGATTCCACATGCAAGTGAGATCGTACAGTACTTGACTTTGTCTGACTTTTTTTCACTCAGCATAATGACTTCAGGGCCATCCATGTTGCAAATGACAGGATTTCCTTATTTTTATGGCTGAATAATATTCGTTGTATGTATGTACATCACATTTTCTTCATCCATCCAAGTCTTGGATGTTTTCATGTCTTGGCTATTGTAAATAATACTGCAATAAACATGGGGGTGCGGATATCCCTTTGAGACAGTGATTTCTTTTCCTTCAGATATATACCCAAAAGTGGAATTGCTGGATCATATGGTAGTTCTATTTTTAGTATTTTGAGGAACCTCCATATTGTTTTTTACAATGGCTCTACCAATTTACCTTCCCTACAGTGTACAAGGGTTCTATTTTCTCCACATCCTCATCAATATTTGTCATTTCTTGAACTTTTGATAACAGCCATTCTAACAGGTGTGATATGATATCTCATTGTGGTTTTGATTTGCATCAAAAGGGGTATTTTATATTCTGGTGGAATTCCAGGCAGCTGAATCCCACCTTTAGATTGAGGCTGTCATCTATGAAGGAGTATTGGACAGCTTTGTTCAGCAAGCTTGGCGTCCTAAGGCTGTGCCATTCATTGCATGTGAATGTTGCTGACATACTTTCCTGTAAGGGAACCCAGTGCCTCCAGTGACCCCTGGACCAGGACCCAGACAGCTGTGCATGCAGTAGAGCATCAACAACCTCTGTCACTCTGCCTAAAGCACTTCCAGTAGTTGTCCTCTTCTTCCTGAAGACCCATGACCTGCCCATCTTCTCAAGGATCTATTTTCCCCACTCCACTTTGGACCTATGCTGCCAACTTTGCCTGCTCTTTCTGTAGGGTGTCCCATACCTGTCCCATGTCCCCATCCCAGGGGGTTAGACACATGTTATCTACCGGGAAATGTTATCAGACTTGGAAGCAAGAAGAATGATCTCTCATTTCAAGTGTGACCAGAATCACTTTGCTCTCTAGAGCCTGTATTTCTGCCAAGTGGCCATACTTCCTCCCCATGCCTAAATCCAAGGGTCTCTAAGTCTATAGATGCTGGTCTCTGCAGGAGTTCCCCTGCAGGAGCCCTAGAGCTCCTCCTCTGCCAAAGCAGCCAGATAGATGTGCTATTACCATCTATAAAGAAACTCACCAGCTTCCTCAAAAAAAAAACACCACCATGATCCACCAGAGATGGCAATGGAGGGAGATGACCCACCATCATGGGGGAAGGACTGCTGGACTCACAACCCTGATTAA